TGTGTAGTGAAGATGGAGAGAGGTTCACCACTCTGTGCAGTGAAGATGGGGAGAGGTTCACCTCTCTGTGTAGTGAAGATGGAGAGAGGTTCACCACTCTGTGCAGTGAAGATGGGGAGAGGTTCACCTCTCTGTGCAGTGAAGATGGAGAGAGGTTCACCACTCTGTGCAGTGAAGATGGGGGGAGGTTCACCACTCTGTGCAGTGAAGATGGGGAGAGGTTCACCACTCTAAGAAAGACAGTGTAGGCAATTAGTGCAACAATTTAAGAATAATATTCCTCAGTGTAATATTGCAAAGAATTTTGGAATTTAATCATCTACAGTCCATAATATCATTAAATGATCCAGAGAATCGTCAAAACTGAGTGCCTTGTCTAGCTGTCATTTCAAAGTGAGCTTGTCGCTGCTGAAGGACCACCCCCCCCCCCATCTTCTAAAAAGGCAGGGTTGCGTGTTACCCTGTCATCCTAATCAGCCCCAAGAGTCACATGACAGATCACCCTGTACCACAATACCTCTGTGGGCCTGCACTGGGAACAGACTTTAACTTCATACTATGTATCTATTTATAGCAGCCCGCTATGCTGCTGCTGTGTGACTTATTGCTCACATACACATATGATCCCTTGTATCCAGCTACACTGTATTGCACTGTCCTGTGCTTTGTTTTTTTTTTTTTAACTCTTTAAGTTCTGTGAAGCCCCCCCATCACTCATTATTGTCACTCTGGGCAGGGGAGTACCTAGACTTTCTGGATGTCACTCTGGGCAGGGGAGTACCTAGACTTTCTGGATGTTACTCTGGGCAGGGGAGTACCTAGACTTTCTGGATGTCACTCTGGGCAGGGGAGTACCTAGACTTTCTGGATGTTACTCTGGGCAGGGGAGTACCTAGACTTTCTGGATGTCACTCTGGGCAGGGGAGTACCTAGACTTTCTGGATGTTACTCTGGGCAGGGGAGTACCTAGACTTTCTGGATGTCACTCTGCACCCCCCCTCCCCCATATTTTACATAGAATTGTATGTATTTAAGGGCCCCTGACAAGTGCAAGGCTCCCTGAATCTGTCAAGGGTGTCCATGCCCCTGCGACACCCCCGGACACCCCCCCATCCTGTGGGAATGTTATTCATTGCCATTGTATACCTGTATTTGGATGGTATGACAGTCAAGCCCACTGGCTTGAACAAAAGACACCAATAAAAATAACCAAGAAGGAAGTGTGTTGGACTGTCTTGGTGTTGAAGACAGGATGAGGAATCAGCCCAAGGCCAGGACAATCCAAACAGGAGAGGCAGGGCAAGGCTGCGCTGGGGTGGGGGTCTGCCTAAATTGCTGGGGAAATCCTGTCCTTTTCTTTATCCATTTTCATTGGCATTACTGTGAAGTTTATACTTGGCTAATGCTTGTATTCAAAGCAACGTTACTCTATGATGTATTGCATGATTGTATTGTCCTATTGTCTTTTGCACAAAGTGTTTAAATTTATTTTTTAAACTTGTATCTGTCTTGCTTGTCGTTATTTCACTTACTTTTGGGTCTGAGAGTAACATCATTTCAATCCCCTGTGTGTCCTTTACATATGGCAGAATTGACAATAAAGGCATTTTGCTTTTTTTTTTTTTTTACTTTAAATTTGCGATATAGCCAAGAAATTCAACAATAATAGCTTTTCTGAGGTACAAAACAGCACATGAGGTGTTTTCAGGAATGGGGGCTGCAACCCTCATCCCATCTGCATGTGCTCCCACAGTCCTGGGCCACATGATCCACTGTTTCGAGGCCCCAGGCTTCCCGACAGGTGGCCCATGAAAAGCCACCCAGCACAGAGCAGGCAGTCAAAACCTTTGAGATTGACAGGGGGGGCTCAGGAAGTGGGACTGGGTTTAGGGGGCTAGGGGTAAGATTCTGGGCAAAGGTAAGAAGCTAGTGTACAAAAGACATTCACAAATAACCCGAGTCAAACACCAAACAGATTAAAGAGGAATTAGAATATTAATTAGCTATATTAAAAAAACACCATACACATAAGCAAAGCTATTTAGGGATTTCAGTGATATTTTGTCTGCATTTACTTGGTGTTGTAAAGCCCTGAAGAGGGCACGGACAATTTTATATTTGTACTAAACCATAAATAACCAAAACATACGCACAACTTAATTAGAGTGCTCGAAATAGCAATTTGAAAGCACAATAAAATCATATCGTGCGCACATATTACGGATTTTGCGAGTTCGGCTTAGTATTTAGTGAGTACGTTAAACTAAATCGTGCACTATATATTGTGCTTCTCAACAGAAGCGTATTGTTCATCTGAAAAAAAACGGCAATGTTTTTTTTCCGAATTAATGGGGTAATAATCCAGGTTTAACGAGTAGCATTTTTTTGTTTTTCTGAATTAACAAGATAATCATTCTGTTTTTACGAGTAATATTTTCCTGTGTTCTGAATTAATTAGATAACATTTATGCTGGTTCATGATCGCGGTAAATATAGTCTGCAGTCACTACAGAAAGGTTATTTCATTAATTCAGAAAAAAATATTAATGTTAAAAACAGGATGATTATCTTATTAATTCGGAAAAACTAAAAAATATTACTCGTAAAAACAAAACGATTAATTAATTCGTAAAACAGTGCAGTTTTTTCAGATGAATGCAATACGCTTCCGTACTTCTCAAACCCAGAGTTCACACATTTCGGTTTGTGGACTGTCTGGTAGGCAGAAAAAACATTGAGCGTGTGGGGATTCCTGATAACTGGGCTGAGAAACATTGGAATACATGGATGGCACGAAAAGAACTGCCAGGCACTGACACCTACCGACTTCAGATAACAACTGCAATTTAAGGTCGTATACATGAGATGCGGGAGGGCCATTCACACGCATCAGTGCTATTTCTGTCCCCAAGACATTATATATATTGAATATGCAGGAGACGTAGCTTGATAATACATGTTATTATCAAGCAAAGTGTCCTCCATAATGTCTTCGTTGCAAGTTTAAGAAACATAATGTACAACTACTTAGAACACTAAAAAATTTGAAATATAATGATTAAAAACCTTCAAAATCTTTTTGCATTGTTATGTGAAAGTATTTCCCATTTATGCTTTAAATACATTTTCCTAATAGTAAATCAATAATATGTTAGTTAAAATACACATTTTAGTTGTGTTCCTATAGGCTTTCTCTCAGTCTGCTTATCCTAATACATTTCAGCCCCTAAAATATTTGGCACATCGTACAAGCGGCATGTTCAACTGGAACTTTCATCATCTCAGTTGCCTGAAGACCAGAGGGAAACCAAATGAAGTTCTCTCACGTTCTTTCCTGTATTTTTCATGATATTGTAAGTATGTCTGAGGCGGTTGAGCTCAATGCATTTTTTTTCAAGATTTTATTTATTTGTTTAAAAATGCATTTGTGTTTGTTTACTCAAATGTGCTCAGTGTTATCATACAATTATCTTAAATTAATTAACCATATCTGGCTAAAACTCAGTCCTGTTGCTTTCAATCCTGTTACTCATATAAAAAGAAAAGTTCAGTTTGTCTGCATAAATAGTAATTTTTTTAAACACAAATATATATTTTGAACATATCAATCATTTCTTTAAAATACGCACTTAATTACTGAGGGGAACACAAAACAACTAGTTGAAATCAGTTGAATGAGATTTTGTTTGGTTAGTACTGAGAAAAATGCAACCATCTTCCACTTAAAAACGTTGAAAACATTAAATAAAGTTGCCTGAGATTCTCATATCCTTGTGATTTTTAAAAGTCTACATTAGGACACATACGCAATGCACTGGCTTGCTAACATCTCTGCCAGGAAAGCCTGCTGTCGGAGCTTAAAGTTAACTCGTTAATTTTCCTATGGGTAAGTGGATGGGCACAACGGCAATGCACGTATAAGCAGGGTCTTCACTTCACATTCTGTTGTGCATGAATGAATATAACAACACAACACACATATTCACAACCCTTTACCACAATGTACTTCCGCAACAAATATCATATGATGATTCACGAGTTTCGTTTAAAAAATTCTACGAAATTCTAGAGGTCTGGCCCACTGGTTGGAGCACATGTTGGTCTGGCCCGTTATGCATGTTGTCCTGTGGCCTGTACTACGATATGGGGTTCGATCACGTGATTCTCTGAGACTGCAAGCCTTCACGTGCAGATGCCCTTAAATTAATCAATACATGCTACGAAGCATCGGCTTCGGCTTCAAGTGTCCCATCACTAGTAAGTACATAAAAATAATAAACAAACAGACAGATAAATAAATAGATAAATACACAAAGAGGGAACGAAAGAAATACATGAAATACACGCTAAATATAATAAACATACATGACAATTTTATTTAGTTTTGAAAGACTCTTAGAAATAGGCTAGTAAAAGCAATGGTATTCAGGGGAGAACCGAAAAAGCACAACAAGCAATTTCCCTCCGGATGCATTTTCTGGCTGCACCATGTTAGTGTTGATGCTAGAAACTAACATAATCAGTCAAGAGTTTTGGAAGAAAAACGTTTTACTTTGTAGAAAAAAGCTGGCTTCTTACAGAGACGTATATGCAGTATTAATTTAGATTTTAAAACTATTATTTTGTTTAAACCATACGGTTCACAAACATATGGGGTAAGTGGAAGTAACCGACTGATGCACATTTCGAATTAAGAATATTTAGGACGACGTACGGTAGGGTTGTCATCACAGTCCTGTGAAATTCTTGGACAACTAGTAATTGACCAGAAGTACTGCCTATCGGGACATCGTTCCAGTGGTTTATTTAGATCTGTTTGATAGGAAAATTATAATCCTACATCAGGAATTTGGCCTGACACGATTTCAGACTTAATGCACGCTTAGAGATCTCACACAAATCTATACTATTCCATCATAAACATAAAATTAGCTACATCGAAAGCGTCGGGGTAGTTTGCAAACCATACAGACAATTTATAAGATAAATCTGTTACATACATGTTAGGGACTGATAATTGATTATTCACTCTATATCAGTATATGTAATAGCTTGTTCTGTTACAGAATAGTTGGTTTGGTGCTTCCATTTGCTTTTGTTTTAAACATAAGATGGCCGTATCCGCACGTCCCAATCTTAGAAAGCCTCTTACTCTGTTCATTAGCTTTTTCTTTTTCACTCATCCAACGTTTGTGTTTGTCGGCTGTCAAGTGCCTCGTCTTCCTTCATATTTTACAGTAAACCTAAAAGTACAAATCAAACACTTTGCTGAATACTGATCCTCTGGTTAAAATCGACAACCATTCAGAATTAAGTTCACTCGATCTGTTCCCATTCTTTGTTGTATGATGTAAGACGTTTCTTTTTTGGATGGATTTTTATTTTGTCCACTTCATCTGTTTGTTTTTACTAACGATCTTTGAACATGTAGGCAATGAGCGAGGCTGTAATCATCACCGACAAATCGGCTCGTGTGTAGAACGTGCCTTGTCACGAAATTATTTGATTGGTTAAAGACACAATATACAATCTTTGAGCGTATTCCATTGGCTAAACAGACGCAGTATAGTCTCTTTCTGTTAATCGACAGTAGTTCTTCCTGAGTATGAGTGTTATTAATGCACATACACCGGAGTCTCAGATTCCAGGACATTCTGTCCCAGAAAGAAATTAGTTTTTTTCCAGGACAGACTGCCAAAAACCTGGGTGGTCCCAGAACATCCTGGATTGGTGGCAACACTAAATAGGCTATTCTCCATCCCACATTAATTCAGTCAGAATGACAAATAATCTGGACAGTATGTTTTGCTTTCCATGTCTAGAATGCTTTAAAAATACAGCTCTTTGGTGTTTTAGAGTCCTTGCATCCGACTATGGTGTCCTCAAGGCAGAAACGTGTCCTGCGATACGTGGAAGAAGGAAACCTGCTGAAGCTGAAGTCCTACCTTCGGAAACATCCAGACACGGAGCTGAATTTTCAACACGGCAGGAAGCGCAGGAGCCCCCTTCACCTCGCCTGTGGGCTGAGGAATGATGCGGTGCTCAGGCTGCTACTGGAGAGAGGGGCGGACGCGCTGCAGAGGGACCGGCGCGGGAACACGGCCCTGCACATCGCAGCCAGCAGGGCTCTCAAACATGGCCAGACGGGTAATGACACGCAGTTCAGGCAAAAACTGAGTTAATTCATTTTGCTACGACAGCTTCTCCAATGCACATTTGCGGAGAGCCTGCTCTGGACATAGCAAAGGCAGCTGAGATACAACAATCAGCACAAAGCACATGTCTTTGGACCATAACACAAAACTGAAAACCAGCATAGGAGTAGCATGTAACTGGAGAATCATGGAGGAAATCACACCCATTATTACTGATAATTGCATGAATGGATGGGGCTTGTGGAAATGGTACAATGTGCAACCTAACTAATGCACATCATCTTCCTACAATTTATTTTGGTGATGGGTGCTCCGGGCCCAGGGTCATGAAGCTGGATTTTTTTGCTTAGCCGGGTAACTTGTTTGATTTAAAGTACTCCAGTTTAAATAGACTTCATTTTCGTTCATTTACATTTAGTGCAGACTACTGTAAAGCTGACAAGTTTTCTGGTTAAACAAGAAATCCAGGTTTGTTATAAAGACTTCTGGAGTCCAGCCCAGGATGCAGAGGGCAAAAAGAGTCAAATATTTACTGTATTTGATTCCCTGCCGGCCCCTGGAGGATGGGCTCCCCCTTTGAGTCTGGTCCCTCCCAAGGTTTCTTCCTTCTAGGGAGTTTTTCCTTGCCACTGTTGCCTATGGGTTACTCACTGGGGGCTTTGGGTGGGGATGCTGTAAAGTGCTTTGAGACGATGTAATGTTGTGATAATGCGCTATACAAAAATAAATTTGTTTGTTGTTGGCATGTGTACACTCGGGGCATGTGTACACTCGGGGCACATGAAGGGCAGTTTGCAAAGGCCCATTAGTCTAACTGCATTATTGTGGACTATCTAAGGTAACTTCTGTATCAGACAATGCAGCGTCACACTGAGCGGAGGCAGGATTCGAACAACAAGTTAACTCATTTATCTGAAATGTTGTCTGGTGTGCAAACTAAATTATTGTATCAAACCTCCTCTCCTATAGCCTACAACGACCTTGTGATTCCACTGCAAAAGTATTGCCCTGTTGCTATGGATATGCCAAACTATGCTGGAGTCACACCCCAGGATCTGCTGGAGCAGATGAAAGCAGAGCAGGTGTGTGTATTTGGGAGAGCAAGGGAATGTCAGGTGTGTGTGTAGACCTGAGAGCTGTGGAAATGTACTGACAGATGGGCTTCTTGCCTCATGCTTGCCTTGTCCAGCTCAGCTTCTGGGTAGTGAAATGCCTTTTAATGGTTATTGTGGTAGGCAGACCGCAAACAGAACTGTAGGCTTTCAAATGTGTAGAAATTCTGTAATGTTTTGTTGCAGTTGCATGATCTACCACAAGAGGGGAGCAGTCAAGCTAAATTGGACTCAGAATCTCAGTGGAGGGAGAAGTTACTTGGCGAATGTCAAGATGAGTTTTTTGAGGCTTACGGGCATTATGATGGTAAAATTTTCAGCACAACATGATACAGTGTTATTATTAAAATACTGTTTCATACAAATGTGAAGCAGAAAGTCTTTATGTGAAAAAATGTGTTTGATGCAGATGAGTCTCTCGGGGACGGTGTGGACCCTGAGGACTTTGGACAGTGGGCAGACCGGATCTGGCGGGAATATCATGGCAAGCGGAGAGCCGAAGCACGGCGGCGAGTGGAATCGGAGGAGCAGAGAGTGAGGCGGAGGAGGCGGCCGGAGAACACGGACGCGGAGGCGGGGAGGGAGCTGCAGACGCGGCTGGAGCGCGAGCATGCAGAGTATGTGGAGCGGGCGGCGCGCAAGACCGAGGAGGTGCTGCGGGGGAGGAGGCGGCGGTACGAGGAGCGCTGTGCGGTGGCACTGGGGAGCGACGGCCAGGAGGAGCTGGGTTATGCTGACATCCCCTGGCCCCTGCCCCACGGCTCCGTGTCGGACATGGTTGCGGTGATGCTGCACGGCGCCGAGCGTGGTGACCCCGCCGCCTTCCGCCGGCTGCTGCGCCGCCAGCAGGCCCTCTGGCATCCTGACAAGTTCACCCAGCGCTGCGGCGGCCGGCTGCGGGAGGCCGAGCGCCAGCGCATACTTGACACGGTCACTGCACTGTCGCAGGAGCTCAACCGGCTCGCACAGAGCGTCAGGTGACCTGGACACCAGCAGGTTAGTGATCTTGGACTATCCTGGATTTCTTGTAGAAATTTTAGATGGAGACTTTGGTTCTTATATGAAGAGAATATTGTTTTTGTACTTGGTAAAGAAAAACTACAGTATCTCGGCTCTGTATGCCATCTCCGCTTTACCGCTGGAGGAGAGCACACCCACATCAGCGGGTGTGCCAGCAGTGAGCACTGATGAACTATTTCTTGCAATCTTTTTCTAACCTTTGCAGAATGTTCTATCTTAGGCTTTTGTGACTGTGCTTAGCTTTCTGGGTAATTAGTTCCTCTGTCATGTCAAGGTACGAACGGTTAGTAAAACAAAGGTGGGTTTCATTTTTGTGCATCGATGGGATTACCTCTTTGCAGCATATTGTTTTTTTTATTGTTCAGCCCCCCCTAGTGTGTGTGCAAGTAAAAAATAACTCTAAACAGAACAGTTTGTGGCTCACATACCTTTAGCTTACATCTATAGAATCACATCATTCCATTTTCTTGCCATGTCTTTCCCGCTATGGACAGCACTTTCAGCTGTGCACCCACCCTGCGTCCCTCACCTGATCGCTGAGCTTCTGCAACCCCAACAGTCAGCTGGGTCACTGGCTGAAGGACGTCCCCTGAGTCAAATGACTTCCGTCACCACAGGAGGACATGGGCAGTGAGGGACTGGAGGTGATCAGTCTCCAGCGGCCGTGGGTGTAGCAGCCGAGCGACCCGGTGCTGCCCTGGGGGGGGGGGGCTTTTGAGAAGCACGCCGCCCTCCTGTCCAGATTCTGTCGGTACCCCAGTGGTGCCCAGCACCTGCTGCAGCTGCTGTGGTCCTGCGGCGGTGCATGATGCGAAGGGAGCAGGGAACGTCGGGGCAGCAAAGACTTTGGGGAAACACTTTTGGTGGTTTTATTGGACCGGCAGCAACCAGGACACAGAACTGTCACTATTGTGACGCCTGTCCCACCCACCAGGGTCAGAGTCCTGAGTGTCAGTGTTCTGTAAATCGTGGACTTCCTCTGTTCGTGTGGCTGCATGTTGCATCTGGCAGTGCGCGGTTAATAAACACGGAACATCCCTTCCTTTTTATAAGGAACTGCCTCCTTGTTGTTATTAGAAGGATTACCACCACACAAATCCTGTTACAATAATCAGCCACAGATTTTTTTTTGTTTCATTCATTTCTCAATTTACGGGTGTATATTTGTGAATAACACATTTTTTTGCAAACTGCATCCTGGTTCTTCCTTGTTTTTCATTAATGAAGGGCTTCTTCCTTGCTTTATGGGACCTCAGCCCTGCTTCTAGCAGCCTGATACACACTGTCCTGGCAGTGCACGTCACACCTGCACTTAATGCTTCCCATTCCTTTCGAAGGTCACTTGATGTCATCCTCTGATTTATGAAAAACTGTCAGATAAGTTAACGGTCATCTCTGCCATTAGAATGACGCTTTTTCTGGACGTTCCCAGTGTCTCCTGCTTCACCTTATATTTGTGTGCTGCTGTCTTAGAAATTTTGAACCTGGAAGCAACCTGCTGCTCAGTGTAGCCTTCTGCCAGCAGAACCAGGATTAAACCAGGATTTAAAAATGCAGATTTGTTTAAGAATATAGAGTGGTCTCAATTTTTTTCCGCAGCTGTATATTGAGGGAATAATTAATAAAATAAAGGGAATGATTCTATAAGGCTGT